GACAGGGCAGGTCCTGAGCTGTGCCCTGGGGCCGCACACATGAGTGCCTGTCACCAGCTCTAGCTACTCAGAAGGGTCGCCCTCCTCACAGCGCTTGGGGTGGCAGCGGGGACCGATCTGCTTGATGAGCTTGGCTGGGGGAGACGCCACGTCTTGCCCCACCCGGATGCGATTCCGGGTTCAGGGGTCATCTGCTCAGGGAGGGCCTCCCCCTCCTGGGCACCGTTCCTCCATGCGTCATGCTGTGCATGGTGCACACGGCGCAGACCTGCCGGTGTTGCTGTCTGCGCCCTCCTGGCCCGCATCCTCCTCCTCACTCTCCTCACCGTGATGGGAGCCAGCCTGTCTCTAGGGCAGGCGCTCTGGTTACCAGGGCGGGTCCCCGGGGACATGCTGGGCCTCTCACCACGCCCCCTGCCGCCGCCGCTGTAGCCAAGGCCTCCCAGGTGGCCGGCTGGGGCCCAGATCCAATGTGGGGAACCCGTCACCGTTCCGCTGCCAAGGCCACCGCTGCCGCCCACCCTGTCTCCTTCTGGCTGCCCTGGCCGCCCAGCTCCAGGTCTGAGCCCCAGGGCTGGGGTTCCCTCTGGCTGCCAGCAGGCACCCGGGATCCAGGCTTCCCTCACAGCCTCGGCTTCATCCAGCCTGGAGGAAGAGCTCAGCGCCCTTCTCCGTGACCTCCTGCATCTGCAGGCAGCCCCGCGCACAGGAGCCAGCCCTGATCCCCACGGTCACGCTCAGCGGCAGGGCAGCAGCTGAGGATGTGCAGGGAGGACGGGGCGCACAGCCCGCAGCTCCACCGCAGCGCTCGCTCTGCTGCTGGTGAACAGGGCCCGGAGGAGGAGCTGCAGCAGCCAGCAGGCCGGGTGGGCTGGGAGGCAGGGCCTGTGGCCACCATGACACATCCCAGCCCGGGCCTGACGCCGCTGCTCACTCAGGCCCCCAGAAAGCCGCTGCCCAAGTTCGGATCCCCACCTGCAGGGTCTGGGCCCTGGTGGCAGCTGCGCGAGGCCGCGCTCCGGGGGCTCCTGCAGTATCCGCAGGGGCAGGTGGGGTCGGACCTGGGCTGGGGGCGCACCGCCTGCGCCGGAACCTCAGCTTCCGTCTCCTCCGAGGCCTCACAGCCTCCACCTCCTCCGCGGCCTCCGCCTCAGCTGCCGGGGTTTCCATTCATTTTGGGCCAGGCCCCCCCACAGCCCAGCACCGAACCAGCACAAGCCGCGCCCATGAGCCGCATCTTAGGGTTTGTTCTTGGACTTGAGTTTCCCTCTCAGTCCCCCTGGTTGAGGTGAAGGGTCTGGTTCCCGGCCACAGGGCTGCCATTCAACCATCGGTCCCTGGGGCAGCGGGCCCTTCCCTGGTGCAGGGGCCTAGCCACGGGGCAGGTCTGTCCTCCTCAGGACACATCCCTCCGTCCTTCAATGAAACGGGGTCTCCTGCTGCCCCTGGAGTCTGACATGGTGGGCCCAAGGCCTGGGGTCCCCACAGAGCCCCTGGGTTCCTGGTGGATTAGACAGGGGAGCCCTTAGGGGAAGCTGCCAGGCCTCCGGGGAGAGGTGATGGCTCCTCTCTCCCTCCTGGACTTTGTGAACCGGCCAAGCAGGTGCCAAGTGGAGCTTTACAGAGGGTCTCCTGCCCTGGCTGGTGTGGCTCAGTGGATAGAGCGTTGGCCTGAGGACTGAAGGGTCCTGGGTTCCATTCAGGTCAAGCGCACAGGCCCGGGTTGTGGGCTCCTCCCCAGTGGGGGGTTTTCAGGAGGCAGCTGATCCATGATTCTCTCTCATCATGGATGTTTCTCTTTTTTTTACTTTTATCCTCTCTGAAATCAACAAGAAACATATTTTTAATTAATTAAGGAAGGCCACCCTGAATAACCAACTGAAGACTAGCTGAGGCAGAATCTTAGAGCCAAGGATTTACAGAAGGGGCCACATAGAGACAGGTAGGAAGTTCAGACATG